GACGAAACCCGACATATTTGGTATCGTTGGACTCGGCAACGATTCAGGACCTCAAAAATATGACTCCCGTGAAAATAAGTGTACCACACCCAAAGTTATAAGCGTTTGAATGAAACAATTCACCACTAGGTGGCGCTGTTTCGAAACTTCTCAGGCTCCTTCAGGGCATCGTACTGATGACCCATAACGAGTTTCGTAACAATTCGTTCATGCGTTCAAAAAATACAGCATTTTAGCACATAATTCAAAATGGCCGACAGCCAAAATGGCCGATCTGGGAAAATTGGATATCGGTCGACTCGGCATGACGCCCTGAATCTAACGAGACCAAGTTTTTGATTTTTGGAGAAACGGTTCAGAAGTTACGAGCAAAAATAGCCATTTTTCATATCTCCGGACCACTAGGTGGCGCTGCGCCGAAACGCAGCACGTAGCCTCAGGTCATGCTTGTGATAACACGTACCAAGTTTGGTGTGAAAACGAGTAAGCGTTGCGGAGATACAACCTCACGTCTGTTTTCGCAAGCGCTACGTAAATTTTGTTTACGCGTTTATCGAAAACGGTTATTCGAATCATCTTGAATTCCATAACTTTTTGTCAGCACTGCCTGGAGATGATCCGGTGCGATTTTGGTGAAAATCGGACAAACCGTCTAGGACGAGTTCGCAAAAGTAGGTTTTTTGGAAAATTCAAAATGGCGGCCGTTTTTTTATGACGGAAAATGACGTCATAGGGTGTGATCGAATCGGCATGAGCTCAGGAACAAGAGGGAAAAAGAATTTTGTTGATAGGCCTTACGGTTCAAAAGTTATTAGCATAATAAAAGTGCAACTTTGGACAGTTGGTGGCGCTAGAGGGAATGAGTTAGAGACACCAAAATTGGTGTATTTAAAGTTGGGACTGTCCTCTATCAGAATGTCAAACCAAAACAACTTTCCCGCAAACCGGTCTATGGGCTGCCATAGACGCCCAGTCGGAAGAAGAATAATAATAATAATAATTAAAGCTGCAAGCAGCATTTATCGGTGTTCAAGCAGTTTAGGCCTTTAAGGCCTTAAAGCACAAAAGCATCAAAAGGCATTAAATTTTATTAAACATACATTTATCCAGTGACATAATAGATGGAAAACACCATTTACAGCCAATACAGGCAATTAACCATTGCAAATACATGGTTTTAATGCTTTTTAACAGATATAGCACCATCTATGGTCTGATCTCCATGAAACTGTGCATGCTTCTTTTACATGTTATGACACATATGCTCATCATTTTTTTTTTTGAAGTTGTGAGTTTTCCTTTAGGATTTATATACTTTTGGGTGCATTTTGTCACCTACATCTTGGATACCCTTGGGGTAAGCTAAAACATACGAAAAATTAATTTCAAAGTGAACTATCCCTTTATCTCCATTATGCTTGCTTACACCAGCAGGGTGCATTACTGTATCTCCTCATTGGCCTTCCTAAAAATACCATAAGACAGTTGCAGCTCATACAGAACGCCGCTGCCAGGAGTCTGAGCAGGACCAGAAAATATGAGCAGATCACACCAGTCCTCAGGTCTTTACACTGGCTCCCAGTTACATTTAGGATTGATTTCAAAGTATTATTACTGGTATATAAATCATTTAATGGGTTAGGACCTCAATATATTACAGATATGCTCACTGAATATAAACCTAACAGATCACTCAGATCATTAGAATCACATGAGCTAGATGTGACAGTTGTCAAAGTAAATGTGACAGTTGTCATAGTAATTTTGGTAAATGGACAGCATTTATATAGCACATTCATAGACCTAATGGTCACCAAAGCGCTTTACATATTGCCTCACATTCACCCATTCACACACTGACGGCGGTGTCAGCCATACATGGCACCATTCAGCTCGTCGGGAGCAGCTGGGGTTAGGTGTCTTGCTCATGGACACCTCGACACTTGGTCAGGCTGAACCGGGGACCGAACCACCAACCTTTCGGTTTGTAGACAACCTACATGAACCACTGAGCCACTGCCGCCCCTACCCTTTTTGACTAAATTATTGTGATTATGGGATTATTGTTAAACTAGTGAATTATAGTTGAGTAGTCATGACAAATGACAATTTTGAACAGCAGGGGGCAGTAAAACTCCACTTATTAGCTTAATAGACCATCATGTTGATATCATTTTCACCTTTTTAACTGTTATATAGGCATATTTTGTCCGATCTGTCTGAAAATGTTCGTGATGTTTCAATGTCACGTGTTCTAACTTGTTTTTAAGATCTGAGCATTAATTTCAAGGCTACATGTTGAAGCCATCGATTATAGGCATTCACATGAAGTAGTTCAACTTTTTCTTATAATAATTGATCAAGAGAGTTCAGAAAATTGTACTGCACTGGCTAACATTATAGGGTTAGGTGTCTTGCTCATGGACACCTCGACACTTGGTCAGGTGGAACCGGGGATCGAACCACCAACCTTTCGGTTTGTAGACAACCTACATGAACCACTGAGCCACTGCCGCTCCTACCCTTTTTGACTAAATTATTGTGATTATGTGATTATTGTTAAACTAGTGAATTGATAAAGTCATAATATGAATTATAGTTGAGTAGTCATGACAAATGACAATTTTGAACAGCAGGGGGCAGTAAAACTCCACTTATTGGCTTAATAGACCATCATGTTGATATCATGTTCACCTTTTTAACTGTTGTATAGGCATATTTTGTCCGATCTGTCTGAAAATGTTCATGATGTTTTAATGTCACGTGTTCTAACTTGTGTTTAACATCTGAGCATTCATTTCAAGGCTACATGTTGAAGCCATCGATTATAGGCATTCACATGAAGTAGTTCAACTTTTCTTATAACAATTGATCAAGAGAGTTCAGAGAATTGTACTGCACTGGCTAACATTATAGGGTTAGGTGTCTTGCTCACAGACACCTCGACACTTGGTCAGGCGGAACCGGGGATCGAACCACCAACCTTTCGGTTTGTAGACAACCTACATGAACCACTGAGCCACTGCCGCCCCTACCCTTTTGGACTAAATTATTGTGATTATGTGATTATTGTTAAACTATTGAATTGATAAAGACATAATATGAATTATATATTATGTCTACGGTTCGATCTCCATGAAACTTTGCATGCTTCTTCAGCATGTTATGTCACATATGCTCATCAATTTTTGTGAAGTTCTGAGTTTTCCTTTAGGATTTATAGGCTTTTTGGTTCATTATGCCACACCCCTTTTCAAAATAACCCTTTTAATACCATGCAAAAAATTTAAAAGTTCAACTTTTTTTCAATAATTATTTATCTAGAGACTCCAGAGATTTGTCCTAGACTGGTTTGGTTTTGATCAGACAAAAAACCAGGGACTAGTTCGCAAAAGTAGCTTTTCAACATATTTGTGAATATTTAATGAACGATTCAATTGACAGCAATGGTTCTAGAGGCAAAGTTGTTCATCATGAGGAGATCTATCAAATGATATTCATTTTGTGTGGATGTGTGCAACACCACGTGATTACAGAGCCATAAAACTCTTTAGCGCCAACTAGTGGCCGATTTCTATGAAAATTCTTACAGACCTCTAGTGCCAAAAGTCGAATATGCCCCTCGAGTTTCATTCCGATCAGCCTCCGTTAACCTCGTCTAATAGGTGCTCAAACTTCATTGGTTGATGGCGGCCATGTTTTTTGAGATATGCCAATATCCTTTTAGACATACATGGTAACTTGCACCAAGACACTGCATACCAAATTTCAAGTCAATTGGACAAATGGTCAGATGGTTTTAGCCAATTATATGTTTATTTAATGTTATAGCGCCACCATGTGACCAATCGATGCAGTATTTTTACAGTCACCGCAAACTGTCCTCATACACATGTCTATTGAGTTTGGTGAAGATATCTTATTTACTTCTTGAGTTATAGCCATTTTAGTAAAATTGCCTAATTTCAAAATGTTCATTTTGCACCCCCTATCGACCTTGAATCGAAAATACAACTTTTTTTCGATAATTATTGGTATTCAGACTCCAGAGAACATTTCTGCACTGGTTTGGTTCCGATCGGGCAAAAATCCAGGGACTAGTTCGCAAAAGTAGGTTTTAGATAAAATTCAAAATGGCGGACAAATTTGCATATAAAATTAAAAATCCGAGATATACGTTTTGTCCTTCAGGCATCCAGCTTTCCAGTGATATAAGACACTTGAGTCTACAACTTACATTCTAGGAGATATGAGCAGTTTCGCGCAATTGATTATTATAGCGCCACCTATGGGCCAATATGGCTCATAATTTGATAACCTCTCCTCGATTTTTGTACTACCAGCTGTCAAAGTTTCAAAGATCCAGCTCTTACGGTTTGGGCTGCACGATGCGTTTTACGGCGGAATAATAATAATAATAATAATAATAAAAATCAGTACAATTACAATAGGTTTTCAGCACTTCGTGCTTGAACACCTAATAATAATAAGAACCGGCACAGATACAATAGGTGCCTCCGCACCTTCGGTGCTTGGCCCCTAATAATAATAATAAGAACCGGCACAGATACAATAGGTGCCTCCGCACCTTCGGTGCTTGGCCCCTAATAATAAGAACCGGCACAGATACAATAGGTGCCTCCGCACCTTCGGTGCTTGGCCCCTAATAATAATAATAAGAACCGGCACAGATACAATAGGTGCCTCCGCACCTTCGGTGCTTGGCCCCTAATAAACACAATTGATTTTGAACGTTTTGAAGAAAGATTTTGAAATATGTATTGATTAATTCAAAATAAACATTTATTAAAAACAACCATTTGACTTATGGTTATATGTAATATATGTAAAACAAATCTGAATTAAAATGAATATAATTCAAATAAGAAATATGATTAAATATAGCAATATTTCAGATTTAATTTTTTATTAATTTTATTTATTGTAATTTTATCATATTTTTATTTTAGTTTTTTAATACTTTTATAAAACAAATTGAAATGACAACAACAGTGAAAAGAGTAGGACATATTTAATTTAAATATCTATTAATTCGTTTAAAATGTATTTTTAAAAACCAAATGACTTATGGTTATATTTAATATATGAAATATAATAAATATAAATATGAAAATAAAACAAAATAAAATATGAAAAAAAGAAATGTGATAAAATATCACAATCAAAATTATTTTTTTATTTATTGTCATTTATTATATTTTTATTTTAGTAGCCTATTTTTTTAACGCTTTAATAAAAAAAAATCAACAAACAAAACGACAACAACAAAGAAAAGTAGGTCATATTTAAACCATATAATAAACACAATTGATAGACAGTATAAATGTATCGCAGGGGTCTTCTGTGAATGCAAATTATCATGATCAATGTTTGGAAAAAACAATACAAAACAGAAACAGTCTAGATGAATGAAAGAAAAGACTTGACTCAGGTAATAATGAGGTCTGTGTTTTTTCTCTTCCAGGTCGTCTCATCTTTGATAACCTGAAGAAGTCCATCGCCTATACGCTGACCAGCAACATCCCGGAGATCACTCCCTTCCTGTTCTTCATCTTGGTCAACATTCCTCTTCCTCTCGGGACCATCACCATCCTCTGCATCGACCTGGGCACTGACATGGTGAGACTCTCTCACACACACACACACACACACACCTAATGTTTCATGTTAATAATGGATGTAAGGGAAACGAGTTATTTTCGACTGGCAATACACTTTTTTTCTCCAATACTCATGCATTAACCAATTGTTGTATGCCATATCAGGTCCCTGCAATCTCATTGGCTTATGAAGCAGCAGAGAGTGACATCATGAAGCGCCAGCCTCGTAACCCCCACAGGGACAAGCTGGTGAACGAGCGTCTCATCAGCATCGCCTACGGACAGATCGGTTAGTGAGCTAAAATTTCTGTTATAAGAGATTAGACTTGAAGTGAACTGAATGAAAGTGACGTATCCTCTGTCCTTTTAAATCGGGGTATGTAGGAATGATTCAAGCCCTGGGAGGATTTTTCAGTTATTTCGTGATCCTGGCTGAGAACGGCTGGCTTCCCAGTCTGCTGGTGGGCATCCGGCTAAACTGGGACGATCGCTCCAATAATGACCTGGAGGACAGTTACGGACAGCAATGGGTAAACATCAGATGTCCAAAGCAACTTAAATACATTTTTACATTTATATTTGGCAGAAGCTTCTAAAAAGCATCTTATCAAAACTTTTTATCAATCACATTTTCAGTGTTTGCATGTCTTTTGCCATTGGCTTCCATCTTAGCTATAAATTATCTAGTACAAGAAATAAAAATTCAGCATTTTTTATTTTATAAAACATTTGGAGAGATATTTCTCAAGTGTTCATCAATGCAGGAAAGTTCAATCGATAACAAACAACTAAAACAATCTAGCAAAAATAAAATAATGTACACTACCATTTAAAAGGTTAGTGTCAATATGTTTTTTTGAAGCGTTACTTATGCTCATTTGATCAAAAATACAGTAAAACGGTAATGTTGTGAAATATTTTTACAAGTAAAAAACTGTTTTATTTTCATTTATTTGGGTGACTTTTGTTTTCAATGTCACATGATCTTTCAGAAATCATTTTAATATGCCGATTAAAACATTTCTGTGCATAATTTCATTATGTTGAAAACGGTTGTGCTGCTTATAATTTTCGTGGAAACTATGATACGTATTTTTTCAGGATTTCTTTGATGAATAGAAAGTTCGAAAGAACAGCATTTATTTGAAATAGAACTTTGAAATGTTATGAAAGCATTTTCTGTTACTTTTGATTATTTGAATGTAACCATACTTAACCCTCTGATGGTCTTCCTTTATGAGTCACGTCCTGGGCCTTCCCGGTCAGAAGTGACATGAGGCCTAAAAATGAAACCATCCCAGTAAAACCAATGCAATTTATTTTTGTTCTATAATATGTATTCTTTTTAATTTAGTATTTTGAGACAATTTGATTGAATTTATTAATATTTGTGCAATATTTATGGTCTAGTTTTTCAATGGAAATTTATATATATATATATATATATATATATATATATATATTAATTCTTAATGCAGTATTTTTGTTTAATATAGAGTCTAGACCTTCAGAAAAATTTGTTTTGAAGAAAGTTAGCACCATCTGGTTACAGTATATAGAGAAAAAGCGTAGAATGACGGTGTAACCACTACTGTAGATGTATGTACAGCTCTCTATGGAGAGGCATGTGAATTCCCCAGCTGTTTATGAACACATTTTTTTGGTGGATTTGAATATATGATTGAAACAATCTCAAAAACTATTTCTTATTTTAAAAAAGTGTAAAATTTTTACTTTTGTAAATTGTGAATTTTTGTGTTTTTGTCAATTTCCCATTCATTTCCTATGGGGGTCATTTTTGACCAAAGACCAAAATCGTGACTAATTTTTTTACGACCACTTAGCATGCTCGGATCACAAACTCAATTTTTTTTATGTGTTCACATACATAATGCCAGAAATGTCACCAAGTTTCGGAACATTTCGATGAAGCTGTGATTTTTAAAAATTCAAAACAGATTTTTTGTAGTCTTAATTTATTGGTGTGTATTTGTATAAAAGTGTGTTTGTATGTGTGTGTGTGTGTGGGTGGGTGTAAATTTTTTTTACTCTTGAGGTTGTAGAGTGTCACCCCTTTACTGCGGTATACTTCTTTTAAGAATCGTGGCCGATTTGTAAATTGTACTAACAAAAATTCAGAGAATTTTTTTTTTTTTTTGTAAATTTCCCATTCATTTCCTATGGGTCGGTCATTTCTGACCGAAGACCACGAGTGTGACTATTTTTTTTACGATCACTTAGCATGCTCGGATCATGACCTCAATTTTTTTTTGTATTCACAAACCAACTGCCAAAAAAGTCATCAAGTGTCATAACCTTCCGATGAAGCTGTGATTTTTAATAATTCAAAACAGAACATTATTTGGTCAGAAGTGACCGAGGACCATCAGAGGGTTAATAAAAGTATTCATTTAATTCCAAAAAAATCATTTTGAACAGTAATATACAGGTGAAACACGAAACAAATTATAATATCATGCAAAAGTTTCAGTAATTCAAACTTAAAAGGTGTAACTAATATATAATATAGACTCATTCCATGCAAAGAGAGATATTTCAAGCCTTTATTTGATATCATTTTGATTATGGCTTACAGTTTATGAAAACCCCAAATTCAAAATTAGAATATTGTGAAAAGGTTTTCATATATGTAAGCCATAATCATCAAAATTATAACAATTACCCAGCAAACACAGAACGTTCCCCTAACGTTCCTGAATGGTCCCATGAGGTTATTTTTTTGGGAACCAAACAAGACCGTTGTAGGAACGTTCCATGTAGGTTATTTTTGGGTTCCATTTTTATAACGTAAGGAGAATGTTCCGGGAACGTTCCCTTAACCTTAAGGGAACTAAAAACTAACGTTCCCAGAACCTAAATTTGTTTGCTGGGTAAATATGACTTTGCATGTATTCTACTTTTTCACTTGTATGTAAATGTGGAGCATGCAAGAATGTGTAACGCAATGATCTCTTTCTCTCAGACATACGAGCAGAGGAAGATTGTGGAGTTCACGTGTCACACAGCCTTCTTCGTCAGTATCGTGGTGGTGCAGTGGGCCGACGTGATCATCTGCAAAACCCGCCGCAACTCTGTGTTCCAGCAGGGCATGAAGTGAGTATCCGCTGCCCTGCCGCTAACACACATTTGCTGGAATTAGTAGTTGGGTCGAATTTGAAGCTAAATGAGTGTGCTTGTTTGTAGGAATAAAATCTTGATCTTCGGCCTGTTTGAGGAGACGGCTCTCGCTGCCTTCCTCTCTTACTGCCCCGGGATGGATGTGGCCCTCAGGATGTATCCTCTCAAGTGAGTGTTGCTTCCTCATGGGACATTACAAAGCTATTTTGATATATAGCATTAGCTGAGGAAAAACTCATTCAAATAATGTGAATTCTCTTGTTTGTTTCTCTCGTTTCTTCTCTCAGGCCCAGTTGGTGGTTCTGTGCGTTCCCTTACAGCTTCTTAATTTTTGTTTACGATGAGATCCGAAAACTTATCCTGCGCAGAAACCCAGGAGGTACAGAGCCTGAATTACTCTCTCACACTGAGAAATAGAGCTTAGCGATATCGCAAGAAAATAGTTCTTTTTTCTTTATACAGGATTTTAATATAAATATTAATATTTATGTATTTTCTCTGATGTGGCTTTGTTACGTGCTCATTTGAAAAATAATGTAAACAGTTGTGTGTAAATATTTGTAAATCATTCTAATATACTAATTTGAAGAAATATTTTATCATTATTAATGTAGAAAACTTTTTTTCAGGATTCTTTGATCATTTGAAAGTGCAGCAAAGCACAGCATTTATATTTTATAATATTTTATTATACATTTATTGTCACTTTTGATCAATCAAAAGTAAGGCATCCTTGCTGAATAAAAGTATTTAAGGAGTAGTTCACTTTTAAAAAAAACTTTTGCTGATAATTTTCTCACTCCCATGTCATCCAAGATGTCCACGTCTTTCTTTCTTCAGTCGAAAAGAAATGAAGGTTTTTGATGAAAACATTCCATATAATGGACTTCAATGGGAACCAAATGGTTCAAGCTCAAAATGAGAGTTTCAGTGCAACTTCAAAGGGCTTTAAACGACACCAGACGATGAATAAGGGTCTTATCTAGCGAAACGATCGGTTAAAAAATAAATAAAAAAGTTTAAGTTTATAAGCTCAAATGCTCGCCTTGCTCTGTTCTCTGATGAGCGTTCGTGACTCTCCTGTTCAAACTGCAAATTTGAACGAATCTTTTTTCGAGTCATGACTAGATAAGACCCTTATTCATCGTCTGGAATCATTTAAAGCCCTTTGAACAGTTTGCACTGAAACTCTCATTTGGACCTTGAACCTTTTGGTTCCCAATTAAGTCCATTATATGGAGAAAATCCTGGAATGTTTTCATTAAAAACCTTAATTTCTTTTCGACTGAAGAAAGAAAGATGTGGATCACACGGGGGTGAGTAAATTATCAGCAAAAGTGTTTTTTAAAATGAAATACAGTACATATCTAAATCTATAAAATATCTATCTTAAAATTACTTTTATGATGTGAAGCACTTTGGATTCCTGACGGTTGTGTAAAGTGCTATAGAAATAAACGTTGATTGATTGATTGATTGATTAAAAGGAAACTGGGAAAAAATTACATAGCAAAAAAAAAAAAAAAGCTAAACTGACCTATATATATTTTAGGTTTTATTGATGATGCAAATGAATCATTGTTTTGAATCGATTCACTGAAGTAAATCATGAAAATGAATCAAACATTTTAGTTACTAAAGTGGCAAGGATGCATTACAAAAAATAAAAAGTGCAAATCATAATATTCACAATGTTTCATATATGAATATTTTTTGAATGTTTGATTATTCAGCATATTCATGCTGAATTTTAATTACGGCCTTTTTCTCTCTCTGTTTTACTTCAGGTTGGATTGAAAAGGAGACATACTACTAAATTGTCAAACACTTCACTCATCCATTCTCCCTCATTCCCTCACTTTCTCTTTCTTAATGTCTTTCTCTGTCTTTTTTACATTCTACCCATCCCCCCTTTATAAAAACATAATCTCCATCCTTTTACTGAAATAATAATAAAAAAATGAGATGAGATGAGAGGACCAAGCACCAACCGAGGAAGATGACAAACCCAAAGACTACAGCTGAATCTGCCAGAATCATAGTTGTAAGGTTTACTAAAACTGTTAAACACACCGTTAGCATGTGCACACGCACGGCTTTAGGAATGGATGTCGCGCATCACGTCTTTCCGAACCCGACATTTAGATTCAGTCACGGGCGACAGGGACTCCTGCACAAACACTGCCACGCTAGATTACTGTTGTTCATCCCTCTCCGTCCTCGCCATCGGGAAAATACAACTTAATCATGAAATTCATTTAGACTCTCGCCCTCTGCTGGGGGAAAAGAGGATGACTCCTGTCTCACCTGCCACCTCCTCCCTTTCTCTGTGTCTTTTCTTTCCAGGTCGTCGTTGTTGTTGTTTTTTTTCGTTCATCTTTTGAGTGTTGTTTTTATTAATCATTCCTAACTTTTTAGTCCGATATTTGTTACGTTAGACGTGTGTCTGAGAGCTGCTTGGTTTCATTTTTTTTTTCTCAGGCATGACAAAGCACACTGCCACCCACTCACTCTTTCTCTCTCTCTCTCTTTCTCTCTCCCTTCCCTTTACCCTGCACTGCCCCTCCCTCCCTGCTCTCGCTCCTTCTGTCCGTTCCGTCTGTTTGTCTGTTTGTGAACGATGTGAAGACCCCCCCCCCCGACCCTGTTTCCCTCTAACCCCTGTTAAAAAAAGAGAAAATACAATCTTTCTGTGTCCTAGGAAAAAGAGATTTCTCTCTAATGTCATTGTTTAAATAAGTGCAGAAAAATCAAATAAAAGCAATGTTACAACATGTCAATCAACTGCGAAAAATGAAATAAAAAAGAAGGATCTCTCTTTTCTCAGCTTGGCGTCGGTTTGTTTTTGTGTCTGATGTCTATGTTAAATATTAAGCATTGCCATTTGAGGATAATGTAAACATGCATTCACGTGGCGTTTGAGCACAGTCAACACTTTTAATTTTTAAACGTTTTTAGAGTCAAGAAATTATTTTATAGGGGTGAATCCACTGTAAAATCTGTGTTCTTACTAAGAATTTTTTTGTTAACTTTACTTAAAGTCCAATAGTTTGTTGAACTTACTTAAAATTTCTTAGTAATCTGTACTGTTTACGTGCTATGCTTTTGTTACTCAGAAAAACCTTGTTACTTTTTTTCAAACTTAAATGGATTAAGTAAGAATAACTTGATGCAATTAAGTCACGCCTACTTAATGAAATAAAGGCAACGAGTTTGCATAATAAAATTAAGTAAACTGAACTAATTAGGTTGTGTTCTCAGTTCGTAATTCACATCATAATTCTTATCATTTCTGATGTTATGTTATGTTATAGGTAACCAATTATATTATTATTAATTATACATGTAAATTATAGAAATACTATTATTTTATGAAATATACAATTTAACCCCTTAATTGTCCCCCCCCCCCTTTTTTTTTTAAATACACATTTCGAACTTAAATGGTTGTAATTCATGAATGCTTTGGAATATAGACAGCAGATTTTCATTGAAGTTAAATAAATTAAGAAAAAAGGAACAGAAAAAAGTTATAGAAGTTTTAGTTTATGAAAATGTATTATTTAATTTAAAATTAAAAATTTATATACAAATTAATTATTCATATTTTATATAAAATATATCTTTTCAAAGCCTTGGCGACTCTAAAACTCTACCCTTTTGAGAATTTGGGGGTGAGAAATAGATGTCATGAAAATGTATTATTTTTTTAGGGCTGGGCAACGATTAATCGCATCCAAAATAAAAGTTTGTGTTTACGTAATATATGTGTGCGTAGTGTGTATAATTATTTTGTATATATAAATACTCACACATGCATGTATATATTTCAGAAATATTTGCATGTATATACTTTATATATAGTTATACACAATTAAAATTATGTATAAATATAAATATTTGATATTTTAAGAACACATTTTTCTTAAATATATACATGCATATGTGTGTATTTATATATACAAAATAATTGTACACACTACGCACACATATACTATGTAAACACAAACTTTTATTTTGGATGCGATTAATCGCAATGAATCGTTGCCCAGCCCATTATGTTGGAGCTGAAATATAACCTAAATGTTCTTGTAAGATTCAACAAATTAATTGTAGTCCGATAATAAAGATATCAGCTATGTGTTGGATTAACATGGACAGTGCGAGAACTTTTGCCTCTGTAATGGGCTTTCTCTGAACTCTGTAATGGTTTTACAGTCATTAATTTACTCTCGCAGGTTTATAACCTTCTTTATCGTAGGTTTTATGAGTTCGGCGCAATGACATTCATATAGAGGTGGCTTCTCCCAAAAATAACTAATCACACTGAAAAAAATCTCACTTGAAATCACTCACTAATATTTGAGTACCATTTGTCATTTTGAGGATGTTGTTTTTCAAAACGGAATGCTATCATAAATTGAATTTGAGATATAAAATAAATCCTGTAAATAAATAAATAAATAAAATAAAATTGCTTTTTCACATCAGCCATATCACCTAGAGGTGTGGGTCACCCCGTTTAAAGTGTGTCTGCACACACAGATAGAGACAAAGGGTCTAAAACACCTTATATATTTATACGGGCTGTTATATATATATATATATATATATATATATATATATATATATATATATACAGTTAGGGTTTTTATATGAAAGAGAAAGGAGGAGACGAGCTGCAGTAAAGTCTTTGATGAATTCCCTGGTTACATTCAGCCGCTGTTTCATTTTGATGATGAAGAGGGCTCACAAACACACACACACACACACACAGAGAGAGAGAGAGAGAGAACCACACCTCTAAAAACAGAATTACAAACATGCCTTGAAGCCAACTCTCCAAAATAACAGAAATATGTCTCCTCATTATGAAACACACACACATACACACACACTCCCCTTGTCAGCTGTCCTGCCTGCTTTAATCTTTCTGCTCAATGCAGACCCCCAATCTCTCTCTCTCTCTCTTGCTCTCTCTCTCCCCCTTTCCCCCTCTCCCTCTCTCGCTCCACTGTTCTGTGTGATAGAATATCGATCGCTTGCCTCGTCTCAGCAGAAAGGGGGAAGGGAGGGGGCAATGGTCAGATGTGCTCCAAGGTTGTCTCCTTGGCAACTGATAGGTTGAACCGGATAGGTCACAGGGTTGCCATGGTGCCTAGGTCGTCAGGGTCATCGAGATGGGGAGGGGTCATCGGGCTGACCAGTAATGTTTGGGTGAAGACTAATTGTGGACATGCTGTGTGTGTTTGGGTGTGTGATGAGTGCAGGTCATGTTCATTCAGGATGCTTGTGTTTGGCTGTTTATGTTGTGTGCGTTCTTAAAAATATAGGGGGTTTCACAGCAATGCCATAGAAGAACCACTTTTGTGAACTGTTACCATTAAATATCGTTGGTTTAACTTAAAAAATGAAGTAACCTAGTTGCCTTAAAATTTTAAGTTCATTGAACTGGAAAAATTGAGTTAATACAATGTAGGAGATTGATTTAAGCACCAGAAACTCAAAATATTATGTTATCAGAACTAGGCCTACATAAATTATCTAAGTTGATTTGACCAAAGAAAAAATGTTATGATTACAAATCATGAAAATATGTTTTTACAGTGTGAAGAACATTTTAAAAATCTGAAAATCTTTTTCCACTATAAAGAAACTTTGGTTGAATGGAAAGGCTGGATCTTAAAGGTTCTTCATTGAACCATCAATGCCAATAGACCATATTCAGAGCAGCGCCATGACAGGTATGAAAAAGCGAGGCTGTGTGTGAGGGTCGTTTTTTCAATGGCATTCGCTGCCAAAAAAATAGTCTGTTTTTTTTTATTTATTTATTTTTTGTCTACTGAAGTTTCTTGAAAAGATGTTTTTGCAATGTTTTGTCTGCAGAACAATCCAAAAACATCCTAAATATAGTACAACCCTGAAGACTCATGTCTATGGCCTCACAGCCTTGCTTCCATTCAAAATCAAAGATGGCGCTGCTGTGAATAAGGTCAATAAAGGACCGTTTTGGCCTGCTCTCTACTTCATACTCACACTGACCACTGATCTATAAGGACTAGGCCTATATAATCATTCTATATCAGTGACACTGACACATAGGAACAACGTTGGCTAGGCCTATGACAAAATGAACTTAAGTCATTTTCGCGTGTTTTCTTTCGGTCGATGTATAAAACACTTTTTGGGAATTTTTGGGGGGATATTTTTGTTATAGCCTATGTAAATCTATAATAGCTTATCGAATCTTCCTGGAAAGCTCTCCAGCTGCGAAGTGTTGCTATGGTTATCTCCTGAGGCGAACCGGTAGTGCACTTTGACTAACTTTTGTCGTAATAACTTGAGTCGCTACTGAAATTATTGAAATCTATATACTTTAGACTCCCTCAACCTCCCGCTTTTACTTCATATGGGGGGTTTAAACCTCAAAAAGTAATTCGCCAGTAGCAGTCTTCACAAGGCATTTGGAAACATGATGACTGGTCATTTTGATTCTGATTCCCTCCCTGTAGAGAGCGATTCACACCGCTAGATGGCGACCAAACTCGCCAAATCATGTGATTTCCTTTTGATTTTTATTTGAACCTCCGAGTTCAACGTTTCATTGGACGAATGAAGATTCAAGATTCTCCGTATCGAAATTAATCCTTATATCCAGGTGATATTCTTACATATTTGAGCTTATTCACACTTTTGCTTGCTTATCACACTAAAGGGGCTACTGACACGATTTAATTTTGAAATGTTATTCTGCTTTTGTTTGATTTGTGTATTCCAGCCAAAAGGGATTCAAAACAAGACGTAAATTATTTTGTGGCAATAAAATAAACGAATTTGTTGGGTATAAACTGTTATTATTACGCCATTATACCTTACCTTACTGTTTTATAGTTAAACATTGTATAAAATGTTTGTTTACATGTTAGCAAACGCTTTCTCAAAAAACGACTAGACTCAACTCAAATTTCGAGTCACGTAACGTTACAGAGAAATGTGCGACAGTGACTCACAATAAATAAATAAAAATGTATCCAGCTTGTGTTTAGTAAGAAGATAGTTGGTTTTTAGTTGGAACAAGCTGGTTATTGGCTAGTTGAGCAGCAACCATGTCCCAAACACCTATGACCAGGTTTGTTGGATATACCAGTGCCATGCTCCAAAACACAGCAACCATTTTAGGCTGTGTAGGCCTGACCTAAAGATCCAGTCAGTCAAAAAAAAAAAAAAAAAAAAAGCAATACACAAGAAATAACATCTTACAGTTGCAGATGAATGAAGTTTAGACACGTTTCAATAAAGCCAATATGTTTTGGGGTGGTAACACATAACAAGGTGTATCTATCTGAAAGCTTTGATTTGAACCGATGAGCTGTTATGATATTTAATATTTGGAGTTTGTCCCAATGAAGAACCCGATAGAAAATTCTGGACTTGGGTGAGCAGGAACTCTTCGCTTTGAGGGGATTTAAGCCACCAGAAATGGCTGATTGCAGTGACCAGACTGGAGTGTACCATTTTGATGAAGGATTTTAGGTAATGGTTCTGCTGGCTATTGCAGGCGAGGAACAGTGACTTGGGTTTAATTCTTACAGTTACTGGCAGTCCGTGTAGTGAGCTGAGCACAGGCGGAAAATGAGAGAATTTCCTGAGGTTAAATACAAGTCGAGCGGCAGCATTTTGGATGCGCTCGAAGGACCGTATAGCAGATACAGGTGGACCAAGACTGAGGTGTAGTAGTCTATCTGTGATTTAATAAAGCCTTGACAAGCACTGATAGTGCTATTCAACATATTACTTTTCTTTCTTGAGGAAAGAGTTAGCTCAAC